TTGAAACAAACGTACTCGTTCCAACGTCGTAATCTTTCATTCATCGTCGTCATTCATTCCTTATCCCAGGCTCATTGAGTTTTAGAATTTACTACATATAGTTTTAACTCTTTGCGGTGTCCAGAGGTAGAACATATCATACCCCAAAGTGACTGTATCAGGTTCAATGTTCCGTCTTACCTTCTTCGGGAACATGCAAGGACCTGACTCGGAACAGAGAGCTTACTAAAGCTATGTTCAATAATTGTGGAAGTAGACAGGATACACAAGAAGGGTATACAAAACCCTTTATTTTTCTCTATATACAATAATTTCCGTACTTCGGAATACAAAGATCCACTACTTGTGGTCTAAACGTAAGAATATAAAAATATAACTAAACGCTACTTTGAAATAATAAACGTGGAAGATTGGCCTTATATTAACAGGAAGCCGTATGTAGTACATATAACTGAGAACACTACAATACGTTTAAAGTTATCAAGAGGATTAAACCTCTGGCCTGGAAGACAACCAGCAACTGAGTAAAACTTCTAAGGTAAGCGGCCTGCTTCGACTAACTGCTTCCTCTCTCTCTCTTGGCAAAAAGCCACAACTTAAGTACTTGGCGTTCGCCAGACAAACTTTGCATAAATACATTAACGCTTATAATTCTGGCCGGAAGTAGAAAATAAGAAGTGATAGTAAAGATTTAAAATAAAATAAACGTTAGTAAAACTTAAGATCTTTACAACTGTTCAAGTAATGCATTTAATGAAGCTTTCCTACGATTTAATTTCATATGTAGATGGAAATGGATGAAAATTATTTAGAGAATATACAGAAGCTGACGTCTTTTGCATCAGAGAATAGCGTATTTATACGTCTTTCATTGTAATGACGGCATTGTCTACGTTGTTTTCACAAAAAGCGGCATCTGTAGGTTCTGAAAGATGACATCCCATATGTATGTATGTTCCTGGCACTATGGGTTGTGGATGAGCGCTATGATACAGGAAAATAATTCTGTCATGTCTTTAGTAGTAGTAGGGTCGTTTTTGTTTGAGTTCTGGGCTTAGTCTCATCAATTGGGTTTGGTAGAGAGTCTCAGTAATGGTTTGAGTAACTAATAATACATGACACCAAGGGTATCCCACCATATACCCAACATGATTTCATTCCATTAATATTTGGCTTGGCTGTTGTAGCACGGCCAGGCGGTTCACATGATTTCTTCTTCGGATTATCGAAGTGGATCCATTTTTCATTACCAGTGACTACGAGATGCAAAGGACCTTTTCATTTATGCTTAGCGAACAATATTTCACGTGTAAAAAATTGTTCGTTCTCGCTTCTCAGCTTCAGTTCATGTGGAACCCTATTTCCTTGGTTTTGAATCATTTCTAATTGTTTTAAACGATGTGAGATTGCTTTTTGAGTCACTCCTAATGTAAGTACAAGTTCTAATTGCGTTTGGCATGAATATTCATCCAATAATGCTTTCAACTCCACGTCTTTGTACATTTTCACCCTCCTTTTTTTTGGTCTTCGACGTCAAATTCATTGTTTTTGACTTTTGAAACCACTCACGACAATTTCTCCCATTTAAGGCAGCCTTGCCATATGCTTCTAAAAGCAAAAGATCTGCCTCAGTTGCAGATTTCTTCAAATTAAAGAAGTAAATCAAAAGTTCTGCAAATGGACGCTCATTCAGCTCAAAACTCGACATTTTCTCACGAAAATAAATGATATGTTGCTGATACAAAATGGCTAATATTTCAAGGTTATGTTGTTAGCAGATGTCCAATCTTATGGCAGGATATTTTACATCAGACAGTTTTAACCATGAAATACTGGTGATACTATTTTTTGTCAAACGGCGGAGACTTATAGTACTCCCAACATTTTTATAAAATGACAAGAGCTGGTTTCCTTAAAATCCTCAGATACTTTCTCTGTCTTTTACGGTTACTCATTTAGTGACTGGCCTTTTAAGCGGCTAGTTACCAAAGAAATGATATAGCGAGTATGTAAAAATGTATGGCAAACCTAACAGTCCATCGCGAATCTAAAGTTAGGCTGCTTTTAAATAGTTTGTGATTTTGCTCTTGATTTTTTTGTGGTGTAAGTAGGAAGAAAGGAATCCATAGTAATAAAGCTAAAAAACCAAAAAATGTGTTACTTTGAATGAGTCCAAAAGTAGATTGGTACCCTGGGATTATCAGCGAGAGCATAAAATACTTAAAAATCCTTTGGTGCTCCGTTAAAATCACAATCCTTTCAGATTTCTTTTCTTCATTTCTGTTTTTTCTATTTGTGTTGAGAACGGTATTTTGAAAGGCGGTATTTAGATATTGAAAATATATTTTATTTTATTTATTACATTTATTTTATTTTAACACCGAAACACTATGTTTTATCTGGACAAAATATAAGTGAAAAAGCAATACGGTTTCATTTTTGGCAGATCGGTGGGTCACGCCCTGAAATACTTACGGAAAATGACAGTAAATAACATAAGACATAATCAGCACAGACACTCTCAGTAGACATACATGGCGCCTTCGATTCGTTGCGGTGGCCAGTATGCTCAAGAGATTACAGGACATGGGTTGCTCAAAGATCCTCTTTGAAATAGTTTATAAATACTTTAACAATCTTTACATACAAGCCAAAACGGACGCATGGTGTACACTCGCAATCTATCAATAAAGGCTGCCATCAAGCATGTGGTCTGGGTCCTCTTCTATGGAATATATTAGCTGATACAGCGCTGAATCTATTAATTGTAGATCCTCGCTCAGAAATATCAGCTTATGCCGATGACAATTTGCTACTTACCAAAGGGCTCAGCCGTAAAGTAAATGAGACTACGGAGCAAGAATCAATAGGCAAGATGATCAGATGGGCCAACGACCATAAACTAATTAAAGCCAAATAAAAAAAACAAGGTATGCTTATCTGCCCTTGTAAGGCCATCGGAAACACAGTGCATTACGCTTCATGGTAAAAATAGTGCTAAAATAGTTAAATATATGAGATATTGAACTAATTTGATGGCACACTCATTTAGATCCCACATTTAAAGAATGTCGATGGACGACCTCACTGGGCATGCTGAATTTATTGAATTCTATGCATTTTTCTTGACTATATTTTCAAATTTCAAAACCTTGTTGATTTGCCATACCACTGGCAGATGTCTTTTGGAAAAATATTAGAAACCGCACTTTAGACTTACAATGTTTGAAACGATGCCCATTTCTAAAATAAATGTCACAGGCCTTTTTCTTAACACATTAAAGGCGGGGAATCTTGACGAAAGTGTGCTAAGTAACGCGGCGACCGCTTCGCCTCGTTTTTCATCATACAGCGGGCGATATTTTGTGTAATCATAAAAAAATTTAGACTTTAAAATGTTTATTTAAACACTTAAAACTACAAGAAATATTAAAAAAGAACTAAACACTAATTGAAAAAAATGTTTTAAAGTACATATTTATGAGAAGAATCTAGTATTTTATGAGTGTGATAATGTTAATAACACTCGCCACGGTGAAGAGGTGCATTGCAAAACTCGCATTTGAAGCAAATCAACTTTCTTTTTTTATGTGCCGCACAAACTACGCAGTTTCGTTATGCATACAGCTTTCTGCCTTTATTTTCTATCAGAATTAATTGACGTTTTTTGATGTCTAGCGAAAGACGTCCAGGCGGATCAATTTTATATCGTGGAGTCCGTGGTGCCGGGTTCGATGTACCAGGTTGTGGCTCTTCAGTGTCCACCAATTCGCCTTCATATGTATCTTTATTTTCACGTGAAACCATATTGAAGGATTTCAAAATTTACTGTAAGTAGAATTTGAACAACCGAACAGATTCAAACCACAAAACATACAAAATACGAATATAAAGTAGCGCATGGATTGCGTACTATGGTTGCAAACCATATTGCGAAGTCCATGCGCTAGCTACAGTCGAGATAAATGCGCAAGCTACAGTCAAAATAAATGCGCAAGCTACAATCGAGATGTGCAAGCTACAGTCGAGATAAATCGTATTACTACGACTTCCATCTTTATGCTACAGTCGAGATAAATCATAGTACTACGACTCCCGCCTTTAAGCTACAGTCGAGATAAATCGTATTACTACGACTCCCGCCATTAAGCTACAGTCGAGATAAATCGTAATACTACGACTCCCACCTTTAATGTGTTAAGTAGTTTCTTTTCTATCATCAGATTTGTTACAAAACTTGCAAAAATTTGTTTACCTTAATTCCGAATCCATTGCCTCACTTTAAACTAACCAGGTTTAGTGGTTATGAGCGTTACCTCTTCGTATTCTCGTTCTTTAAATAATCCAGATTCAAGAATTTGAAATCCGGAGTTTGCGAGCAAAATTCTGCACCCCCTTCGACTTCATTTCTTAATAACGAAAGTAACTGCTTAAACCTTTCTCAGTAAGAACTTTGTGATTGTTTTGGCAGAACTAAGACTCATTTTTTTCAGTTTAATTGCTGTTCTTTATACACTTAAGCTAGTTCCAAATTTATTCGTAAATTATTTGACATTTATTAGCTGAGAAGCCGCCTAAATTAGCTTTTTCAGCATATTTTATTACTGAAGTAGTAAACTTAAGTAATTAAAGTAGAACCAAATTCCTTCATATCCAAACAGTCACTGGTGAGAGAACGTCCCAATAAACAGAGACATGCAATTCATTAAATATTTCTAATTGATTAAGCAAAAAATCCATTCTAGCATTTGCACTCCACTTCCTATCGCAATTGTTTTGAAAAAACAAAATATTTCTACCATCTAACATTTTCCCAATAAAAAAGCAATGCATTGCTCTTATTAGTAAATATACTTTCAAATTGATTCGTAGAAACTCTCTCGAGATGGTTTTCTCAATGCAAACATGATATATTTTATCAGTAAAATTAGTCTTACAAAATAATTTGTGTTGTAACAGTTTATTTTCTACAGCAAAGACGTTCTGTTGTATCTTTGCAGGTGGTTCTGCTGCTGCAGCTGCAGCTGCACAGCGTGCAGGTGTTCCAGGATACGCCTTTCCAGGTAATGAACAAACCACAAAATACTTTTGTAAATATTTTATTGTTAAGAATGAATTGGAATTCGAAAATCTTTCAAATAAGCAAAGACATCCATCTATTGATCAGGTCTAGCAGCTTAAGAAGTGTTACTAAATCTTATTTATGCAATTAAAGCGTATGCTTTAACTCATGTGTTTAAAGGCATATTCCAGAATTATTTTCTGCTTTGAATATGTTGCACGATAATTAAAGAAGGTAAATCTCACATTGGAAAGTAATTAAATACAGTTTCTTTCCTGTTTTGCAACTTTGCTTCGAATTTTGTCATAGTTAATACTGCGTAAGGCTATATAAGTATGATAAATATATTAAATGAAATGAGGTTTGCTAGTGAATTGTATTGTGTATTGGGGATTTTCTATATTCTCAATCAAACACCCCGCCAGGGTTATTCAATTTAACATTTATTATCTAATTTAGTTTCAAATTTATCCGTAGAGACCTCACCCGATATGGCTTTCTCAGTGTAAACATGACGTATGTTCTGAGTAAAATTCATGTGACAAAATGATTTGTGCAGTATGCTGTTCACTTTCTACTTCAAAGACATTCTGTTGTAACTTTCCAGATGGCTCTGCTGCTGCAGCCGCAGCTGCAGGCGCAGCCGCAGGCGTTCAAACCTTAGATGAAAGAAGCTATGAAGTTCAAGGTAATGTACAAATAACAAAACATTTTTGTAAATATTTTAAGTTGTTGGAATTAAAGGATCTTTCAAATAAGCATAAGCATCCATCTGCATTCCTTTACTGATTGGTTGTAGTAGATTAAGAAGTTATATAAAAACCTTTTTCTACAATTAAACCGTACTTTGAAACTCGTGTGTTTAAAGAAACATCCTGGAGTTGTTCTTTATGTTGGCATATATTGACGCTAAGTAAAAAGCAAAACTCATATTGCAGAGTAATTAAAGACTGTTTCTCCTCTATTAAATAATTTACTGTCAAACATATTCAAAGTTGCTAAAGGTCATGTGTACTTTATGACAAGATGGCCAATTGGACCAACGACCATAAACTAATTGTAGCCAATTCAAAAAACCAAGATATGCTTATCTTGGTTGCCCTTGTAAGGCTATCGGAAACAACATGCATCAGGCTTTATGGTAAAAATAATACTAAAATAGTCAGATATATAAGATAGCTTTGGGTTAATTTGATGGCACACTCATTTACATCCCACATTTAAAGGAGGTCTATGGACGACATCACTGGTTACTTCATTCTGTGCTTTGGACCGTAGCACTAATATGGGGAGATTCTTCGAGTAGAATTAGTTTGTGGTACACAGTAGTTGCAGAGCGTCTTAGACACAGTAGTTGCAATTTATGGGTCTCCATGTTGGCCATAAGTGTCATTAGAAAAAGGGAGAATTTGTTATGCTCAGTACAAAGACTATTTCTCCTAAGCAGTTGCCCAGAGTACAAAACCTTGCATACTGATGCATTAAACGCGACTTTAGAAATGCCGCATCTGGATCTGCTAGTTCAACTCGAGAGTGCAATAGTGCGGGTGCTCTGACTCAGTGAGACAGCAATGTATATACTACTATGAGCAATGTATTCCTGAGCCAGTTTATCACGCGCCTGACTTTGATATTTAAAGTAATTCTAAATCGTCGGACTGGTTCAAAGTCATCGCAGTCTACACTTATGCTTCAAAACCAGAACATGGCAGTGGATATTGTACAATCTGTAGAAAGTTAAGTCACAGAGACTTGGGCAAGAACGCTCAATAGCACAACTCAATTTTTTGAGGCTGACGTTGATTCATTAAAAGCTACACTTGCTTATGCGATGGTTACTAACTCTTCCCAGTTTATATACAGACTCTGTAACTAGTCTTCAGGCAACCCAAGACACATACTGAAAAATTTCCTTTCTCAGGGCTATGCAAAAACTCCAAATAAATATATTAAACAGTAGGTTAACACACTAGTGGGTACATGCCACACAGGAATACCATGTAATGAAATTGCAGATAGCATAGCCAAGAGAACAGCGACTGACTTCCACTTACGCACACTTGATGTGACCCTTTTAATCTCCCAGTAGAGCTAGGAAGAGAATTATTGAAGAGTTGGCAACACCTGTGAGAAACAGAGAACACCAGTTTTTACTTCCTTGTACGAAGTAAATTGGAAGTATTTTAATCGCGAAAAGTTTCAGGCAACATATTTCAACGAAAATATCCATTTTGACCGCTATCGAATGAAATTTAACGATGTTTTTGCGTGATATCTGTACGTAAGGACAGAATAAAAGACTGTCCTTACGTAGAGTCCTTATGTACAGGGAAAATCGTGTGTAACACTATGTAATTGTACCAGGTAACAAATGTAGTTTTCTCGTTTTGATGATAGAACGCCAAACATATTACCATTCAATGTTTCTAAACTAGATGAAACACCGCACCTCTCGTCATTATTTGGTTCGTTTTAAAATAAAATATCATTGCCAGCCCGCATTGATCTAAAGCTGACTTAAGAGATTTCCCCCGTTTACTTCCATATTTTATGAGAAAGTTTGAAAGAATACTTCTGGAGTGCAACAAAAATTGGTTAATGGCAGAGTCGTGCCTACATATGTTTTCTCCTAGGGCAAAGCGGTAAATGTGCGCCCCCTGTATACAATGCAAGATTATTTATTTACCTATTTGTGACGGGGATAAATAAATAATATTAAATGATGTTTGAAAACATAACATTATACAAACACGCGCAATATATATATATATATATATATATTTGAATTTAGCAAACATTCTTTATTCGTAAAAAGCAAATTAAAGGTAATTAAAAATTAAATTTAAATTATGAAATTTTAATTATAAACAAATAAATGATTAAATATTGCTACGAACTAATATATATACATATAATCATACATATAGAACAAATTAACTATGTTTATATATATTTTATGCTCATTAAAATATCTACTTGAAGCGAAAATACAATAACACTTAGAGTAATATTTAATTAAAATTTTGCATATTCCACAAAGTGAAACATATATAATGATTAACAATTTTGAAATGGGTATTGGTATTATTCAATTATGGCAAAGCACACGAGGGCTATCTGCCTAAAGGGAGGGATAGCCTTCGTGGAGGACGTTCTAAGGGAAACTGGCTCGTATACACGTTACAAATGGGGAAAACCACGAAAACGCCCATGCAGCCAGCCGGTCCGCGGGATTCGAACCTCGGACCGAGCTACCAGTGTTCAGCGTCTTTACCGCTCGGCCGCTGGTGGGCCTAATTTTTTTAATGGGAAATATTAAAAATATGCTTTTTGAAAAATGGCGAATAATATTTAGTATAAATAAAACATCTGCTCAAAATTTTATGGCATAAATATTTCAAGCCTATTTATAAGTTAATTGTTCTTGCTTTTAAAGAAACAAAATCATCAATAATTTTTTTCAAAATCTATTGAATTCTTCTGTATTTCAATCTTAGACAGATTGGCTATGTTTGAAAGTTTTCTTGGCCTAGTGAAGATATCATATAGTTCCTTAATATCTTACGTTTGCTAAAGCTTCTTTCGCCACTAGCTACAGTAAATGACAACGTTAAAAAATTCATAACGCTGCTTCTAAATTCGGATAGGATTGAACTAAATTATAATCGTTTATTATTTTTATAAGCTTGTAGCTGCTTTTGTGTCCGGAATTATTGAAATAACAGGTTATTAAAACTAGATATTTCTGATTGAATTTCTTCAGCGTTCATATCATTCCGATATTTAAGTGCTATGTTATAAGCTGCTGCCTTTAAATTACTTAAATATGATGACATTATTTGTTCACCAGTTAGAAACTGATAATCGGAAGAGATTTCATTTAACTTTTCGTATCGTCATTTCAAATGTGAAATTAAATTGTCGAACACTTCTTTAATTTCTATAAAAATATATTTTTCTGAAAAACTACAATTTATATCAATTGATTCCTCACATTTTGATTTATTAACTTTTCGTTTTCGTTTTTCATCAAATTCTGATGAAAGACATAGTCCCTCTATTAAGCGTGCGGCATTATCGACAGTTATAGTTTTTGAACTCAATTCTTTATTTACTTTATACAAAAAGTTATAAATCCTCTGTACAGTACCAAAAGATATTAACATACTTGAATTTGTTGAAGCGGCATTTTTGCATACTAAATTTAAACTATGAGCAGAATAAGGAATATGTGTAGCTTGATCATTTCTTTGGCAAATGTTGTCTTGCACGCCAGCTATATTGGCCCCCTTATCATAACCTTATTTTAGAACATTCTGAATGTCGAGGCCATCCTTTTCTAACTTAAAAATAATTTCATTTGCTAAACCACTACCAGTTTTCTCTTTTGTTTCTATAAAATCTATAAAGCTTTCTCTAATAAATCTGGATTCGTCTTTTTATGTACACGTATCTAATAATCTGACACAGTTGCTCATTATGCGAAACATCTGGTCTACAATCAAATATCAAAGAAAAATTGTTTCGCTTTTTTGGTCCTAGAACGAATTTCCAATCGAATATGATTCCCTAAGAGTAATATGAATTCATCTTGTACTTTAATTAGACAGATAAAAAACGGATCCCTTTCTGTGATTAGCTATATGATAGACAATATTTCTATTGTTACGGATTTTGTATTTAGTTAGTTATTTTTGGTAAAACTGTAATTAAAATTATTTTATCTCCTCGCGTAATGCAACGCGTCGGATTAGCTTTCTATGCGGTTTGAACTTTGTTCTATTTAACGTTTTAGTAGTTCAAAACTACTGTGTGATATTATGATATTGTAAAAATATCTGCGAGGAAAAATTTCGGCATTTTGTTTTATTTCTTGTGATAAAAATAAATTTTATGAACATTTCATCAGACTTCTGCATTCAATCTGTTACGAACTCGTACGCACGTAACACTACCATAATGACTTATTAATCAAATTAGGAAAATTCCTGAACTTGAATTGCCAGTAATTTCATACGAACCTCTAAGAGGTAAATTGCGTTTTGCACAAAACAAAATGATGTCTAATATAACGCGTAAGATATGTCGCCACGTTTCTTTTTCTGATTCTACTGCTTTATGCAGGGAATGCTGTATGAAACCACTTCCTTTTTTTTTTCAAAGCATTTACATTAACGATAAGCATCACGATGAAGCATAGAATCTTTGTGATCGGAATTTTAACGTAGAAAATATTATATACGCTACTCCAAAAGCTCATGTCTTTTGAGAATACATTAATGCTACTCATTTTTTTTCGTTTCTTAGCTGGATTGTTTAGAACACAAAATCTTTTTAATATCCACAGATTCCGAAATAAAAAGTTTAAAATCGTAAGTTTTAAAAATAAATTTCTGAATTTTTGATTCGAATAGCAAATTTGGCGACCCTTCTATTTGTTCACCTGAGGCAAATGCATCACCTGCCTCATTCCATCCCGGCCCTGGTTAATGGCATGCTGAATTTATTGAATTCTACGCATTTTTCTTCACTATATTTTCAATTTCGGAAACTTGTTGATTTGCCATAGCACTGGCAGATATCTTTTGGAAAATGTTAAACATTGTACTTAAATTTACTATGTTTCGCTTTATGCCCATTTCTAAAACAAATGGCAAAGGCCATTTTCTTAAGCAGAATAACATATGTTTCATAAACAGTCGATTTTGTGCTAAAACAGTTTTTTCTTTCATCAGGTTGGTTACAAACCTGATGAAAGAAATGACCTTGTCTTTCGTCATATTTGTTTAATTCCGAATCCATTTCCTCATTTTCAACAATCAAGGCTTCCTACTAATTAGTATTTCCTCTTCGTATTCTCGTTCTTTAAATAATCCAGATTCAAGAATTTGAAATCCGGAATGTGCGAGCGAAATTCCGTACCCCTTCAGCTTCATTTGTCAAAAAGGATAGTAACTGCTGAAACCTTTATCAGTAAGAACTTTGTGATTTTTTTGGCAGAGCTAAGAAACTATTTTTAGCAGTTTAATTGCTCTTCTTTATACACTTAAGCTAGTTACAAATTTATTCGTAAATTATTTGACATTTATTAGTACAGAAGTCGCCTAAGTTAGCTTCTTCAGCATATTTTATGACTGAAGTAGTAAAATTAAATAATTAAAGTAGCACCACATTTATACATAGCAAAACAACCAACGTTGAGAGAACGTCCCAAGAAACAGAGAAAATTTAAATATTTCTAAATGATTAATCATAAAATACATTTTAGTCACGAAATACATTTTAGCATTTACACTCCAATTACTAACGCAACTATTTTGAAAAAACATCCCAGAATTTTCATACCATCTAACATTTTTCCAATATATAAGAAATTCATTGCTCTTATTAGTCAATTAACTTTCAAATTTATTCGTAGAAAACGCGCTCGAGATGGCTTTCTCAGTGGAAACATGACATAATTTGTCAGTAACGTTAGTCTTACAAAATGATTTGCGTTGAAACAGTTTATTTTCTACAGCAAAAACGTTCTGTTGTATCTTTGCAGGTGGTTCTGCTGCTGCTGCTGCTGCAGCTGCACAGAGTACAGGTGTTCAAGGCTATGGCCTTAAAGGTAATGAACAAGTCACAAAGTATTTTTGTAAATATTTTAATGTTAAGAATTAAATGGAATTTAAAGAGCTTTCAAATAAGCAAACACAACCATTTATTAATTAGTTCTAGCAGTTTAAGAAGAGTTACTAAATCTTATTTATGCACCTAAGCTATTTCCAAATTTATTCGTAAATTATTTGACATTTATTAGCTGAGAAGCCGCCTAAATTAGCCTTTTCAGCATATTTTATAACTGAAGTAGTAAACTTAAGTAATTAAAGTAGAACCAAATTCCTTCATATCCAAACAGTCACTGGTGAGAGAACGTCCCAATAAACAGAGACATGCAATTCATTAAATATTTCTAATTGATTAAGCAAAAAATCCATTTTAGCATTTGCACACTCCACTTCCTATCGCAATTGTTTTGAAAAAAACAAATATTTCTACCATCTAACATTTTCCCAATAAAAAAGCAATGCATTGCTCTTATTAGTTAATATACTTTCAAATTGATTCGTAGAAACTCTCTCGAGATGGTTTTCTCAATGCAAACATGATATATTTTATCAGTAAAATTAGTCTTACAAAATAATTTGTGCTGTAACAGTTTATTTTCTACAGCAAAGACGTTCTGTTGTATCTTTGTAGATGGTTCTGATGCTGCTGCTGCAGGTGCAGCTGCACAGCGTGCAGGTGTTCCAGGATACGCCTTTCCAGGTAATGAACAAACCACAAAATACTTTTGTAAATATTTTATTGTTAAGAATGAATTGGAATTCGAAAATCTTTCAAATAAGCAAAGACATCCATCTATTGATCAGGTCTAGCAGCTTAAGAAGTGTTACTAAATCGTATTTATGCAATTAAAGCGTATGCTTTAACTCATGTGTTTAAAGACATATTCCAGAATTATTTTCTGCTTTGAATATGTTGCACGATAATTAAAGAAGGTAAATCTCACATTGGAAAGTAATTAAATACAGTTTCTTTCCTGTTTTGCAACTTTGCTTCGAATTTTGTCATAGTTAATACTGCGTAAGGCTATATAAGTATGATAAATATATTAAATGAAATGAGGTTTGCTAGTGAATTGTATTGTGTATTGGGGATTTTCTATATTCTCAATCAAACACCCCTCCAGGGTTATTCAGTTTAACATTTATTATCTAATTTAGTTTCAAATTTATCCGTTGAGACCTCACCCGATATGGCTTTCTCAGTGTAAACATGACGTATGTTCTGAGTAAAATTCATGTTACAAAATGATTTGTGCAGTATGCTGTTCACTTTCTACTTCAAAGACATTCTGTTGTAACTTTCCAGATGGCTCTGCTGCTGCAGCCGCAGCTGCAGGCGCAGCCGCAGGCGTTCAAACCTTAGATGAAAGAAGCTATGAAGTTCAAGGTAATGTACAAATAACAAAACATTTTTTAAAATTTTTTAAGTTGTTGGAATTAAAAGATCTTTCAAATAAGCATTCATCTGCATTCCTTTATTGATTGGTTGTAGTATATTAAGAAGTTATATTAAAACCTTTTTCTACAATTAAACCGTTCTTTGAAACTCGTGTGTTTAAAGAAACACCCTGGAATTGTTTTCTGTGTTGGCATATATTGCACGGTAAGTAAAAAAGCAAACCTCATGTTGCAGAGTAATTAAAGACTATTTCTCCTCTATTAAATAATTTGCTATCAAACATATTGAAAGTTGCTAAAGGTCAAGTCTACTTTACGTTAAGTTTACTTTATGACACGATGGCCAATTGAACCAACGACCAGAAACTAATTATAGCCAACTCAAAAAACCATGCTTATCTGTCCTTGTAAAGACATCGGGAACAACATGCATCAGGCTTCATGGTAAAAATAGTACTAAAATTGTTAGATATATGAGATAGCTTCGGGTTAATTTGATGGCACGCTCATTTACATCCAACATTTAAAGGAGGTCTATGGACGACATCACTGGTTACTTCATTCTATGCTTTGTACTGCAGCCCTAATATGGAGATTTTCTTCGAGGAGCATTAGGATGTGGTACACAGTAGTTGCAGAGCGTCTTAGACATAGTAGTTGCAATTTATGGGACCTCCATGTTGGCCATAAGTGTCATTAGAAAAGGGGAGAATTTGTTATGCTCAATACAAAGACTATTCCTCCTAAGCAGTTGCCCAGAGTACAAAACCTTGCCTACTAATACATTAAACGCGACTTTAGAAAAGCTGCCTCTGCATCTGCTGATTCAACTCGAGAGTGCAATATTGCGCGTGCTCTGACTCAGTAAGACACCAATGCATATACTGACTATGAGCAAAGTATTCCTGAACCTCTTTATCACCCGCCTGATTTCGATATTTAAATTCATTCTTAAATCGTCAGATTGTTTCAAAGTCATGGCAGTCTACACTTATGCTTGAGAACGAGAACATTGCACTGGCTGGTTATTGTAGACTGCATGGAAATTTAGGTCATAGAGACTTGGAAAGGAAAGCTCAAGAGCTCAACTCAATTTTTGAGGCTGACGTTGGTTGCATTAAAAGCTAGAATTGCTTATGCATTGGCTACTAAGTCTCGCTAGTTTATGTGCAGACTCTGCCTCTAGTCGTCACACAAGGCATATACTGTAAAATTGTATTCCTGAAGGCTATACAAAAATTGCTAATAAAGATATCAAACACTAGGTTCAAACTCTAGTGGGTATGACACACAGGAATACCGTGTAATGAAATTGCAGATGGCATAGCCAAGAGAGCTGCGACTGAGTCCCACTTACGCTCACTTGATATGACCCTTCTAATCTCTCAGTAGGGCTGGAAAGACAATTATTGAAGAGATGGCAACATCTGTGAGAAACAGACAATACAGGAAGAAGAGCTACCAGATTTTGTTCCTAAAGCAGGTCAGCTTTTAACACTAGAAGCGCCAAGCTTTCTCCCTAACTAGAAGCGCCAACGGCAGTCAAATTGACTGCTCAACGAATTAATATATATATTCAAATGTAAATGCTTTATAATGCTTTTGAGAATATTAATTACAGTTGTTGAAGAACTTTAAAGAATAACAGATTATTTTAATAAAAAAATAGAGGATATTTTATTATAAATTTCAGCCTATCCTTAATAAAACACATTTTACAGCTTTTCGCAATTTTTACAAAACACAACTTTTTCAATATTGGAAGTGCATTTTCCACACACATAATATGAACATTTTTTACACACATAATATGAACATTTTTTACACACATCACTTGTTTTGTTGTTGTTACAAAGTCCAATCTGGCATTGATGTCTTTTCTTCGAGAGTCTATTGCTAGATTTGGAAATTTCCTGGGCAATTTTGCGTTTTTCTTTAAAGCTCTCTTAATTCCTCTGCTAATTGAAATAGGAAGTCGTGCCTTGTAAAATTTTAATCACTTAATTATGGTAGATAATGTAGGCGTTCGTCTCTGCTAAATCCAGCATATTATAGAAAACATGCACAGGCCATCTACGTGAAGCAGCCCGAACAGAATATTTACGTGTCATCTTGTCAACGATATCAACTCCACATTTGGTTTTGTTGTAGAACTCTACTGTTTCTGGAAGCTTTTCCTTATTTTGTGAGTCTATATTTACACTTTTTTTGGATGTAAGGTACTTAGTAGTAGGACATTTTTATTCCTTTTTTCCTGATAGACAGTAAGCGTAGTTTCACCATTCTTTAGCAAAACTGTTTCAAATAGCCGGGTTTTGGATTTCCTTACTTCATGCGGAATTTCTTGTCGATGTGTTCTTACTGTGCCGACAAAACTTGTGTTTTTCATTTTAAGTCTCCTAACTAATGATAGTGAGGAAAAATAATTGTCTGCTGTCAAATTTCGACCTGAATTCAGATAATGGCTTAGAAGACGCATTGCTACAGTTTCAGGAAGACTTTCAGTTTCACTTCTCTATGTATTTTTTCTAAGATATGGAAAAGCATTGCACATATACTTCGAGTCTACATCGACTAACATCCAAAATTTGATACCGAATTTATCCGGTTTATTCGACATATACTGTATAAACTTACACCTGGCTTTGGATGAAAATAGCTGTTCATCCACAACTAGATTTTCTCCTGGTTTATAGGAAATCGCACAGTTCTGTATAAATTTATTCCAAATATCGGAAAAAAGTGAAAACTTATCACTTTCTAAACGCTGAGTCCTAGTTGCTTCAAGTCAAATCTTAGATATTTCATAATGTCTCGAAAACGATTGCGAGACATTGTTTCTCAGAAAAAAGGAGGACCCCATGTATTATTCCCCAAAAAAATCATAATCCATATCATTGCAACCACATGCTCCTCTTGCATAAATAATAGCAATAAAAGCATCATGCTCTTCTAAAGATATTGCCAAGTTTTCTTCATTGTTCAAAACTGCCTCTGCTTCCGTGCACTTTTTAATATGTCGTAACATCGATTCATCTACAAACAACTTCCAAGCACTCAACACATTGTCCCCAACATTTCGTTTTGCATAAGATGTTGGACTGGCATTTCTTTTAGCACATTTTGAGCTCCATATTTCCCAGCTGTAGTTTGTGAAGATGTCACAGTCCAAGAGGTTCCATCTTTTGAGACATATATAGAGCCTTTTTCGTGGTTTTGAAAAAGACATCCTCTTCCTCGTGCGTATCCTGAGTTAGGTAAATCATGTTTTCGCTTTGATCCTATACCTTGTGCATTAGGGGAACCTAAAAAATAATATATATGTATACTTTTTTACAATAAATGACTCATCACATTTTAAAAAAATTCGAGTACATCAGAAATTGTCAAAACAAAAATAACAATACATAAACATAAATATTTCTTACCTATTTCAGTTGATGTGGATGCTGCAGTTACTGATGACGAAATATTTGCTGCGTAAATATCGATGGGCTGAAAACCTTGGCCCAACGATTGCTCTTCCGTGCTATCTTCAGATTCACTAGAACTATTATTTCTCTCAAAGTTTTGTGGAGGCTCATAATCCATATCATCATCAATATTATGTTCTTCAACATCAGATTCATTTTCAGATAAATCCTGTAAAAGTTGTACAATTTCTTCTGGATTCAGATATCGCTGTCTTCGAGCTGCCATTACCGTGCGCTTGAAAGAATGAAATGTCATGAAACAAACTGACTGAACTACTGCAAACTAAGAACTATATCATTTCGCCAAAAAGGGGTGGACCGTTGACAAGGAGGTGGGGAAGTATTTGATGTTGTAAATAAAGAGAGATTGAAAAGGAATGTGTAGGCCAGATGTTTTTCCAACAAAAGCGATTTTCTGAGCAGAAGGGAAGTATATCCTTCTGTAAATAATCAGTGAATGAAAGAAATGTATATGTACGCCAGATGTTTTTCCAAGAAAAATATTTTCTGAGCGAAAATACCAAAATAAATCTACCCAGTATTACTAGCAGTCATTATGACTGTTCGTGGCGCTTTTAGGTATATCTAATAATATCTCCGTTAATTTTAATTTCATTCGATTTATATTTGATACCAATAATTTTCGACATATTTTAGGAAAATACCAAAATTTGTGACTTCTTAAGATAAGGGGTTTTTGAGGAATCCAAGGTCAAATGACGAAAGCAGTCAAAAAGACTGCTCTGGCGCTTCTAGTGTTAAGAAGATGCGCGGCGACATTTTATGATTCTAACAGGGAATGGTTCCTTCCTGACCTATCTGCATTGCTTTAGACGACGTGAAAATGACCTGTCATGCGGCTGGGAAGATCACTATGCGTTCATTTGCAGAGAAACTGTAGAACATCATCTTAGACAGTCAGCAGAGGAGCATGTTCATACATGGGCTGGAGACACTTTGAATATCACTATGCTTTGAAACTCATACGCGATTGCGTCAATATTGCACATATCTCAAACACGCTGGAATAACTTTCAGCTGTCATCCGCTTCTTAGCACAGTAAATCCCCTGAGTTCTTCTTTCTATTTTATCACCTTCTAGTCAAAGTATATCAGAAGATTACAAGAGCCAACAAAATTCCTTCAATTGTCAGAATAAATTATTTTTGGACGTCCTCTTCTCGCAATAAATCTGCGGGGTAAAAGCAAAAAGCTTCCGCTTGAGAGAAACATTATCAGTTCTGGACTGATACCACAATATACAGCACAGGTAATTAGAATTACCCATGCCTTTTTCTTAAACTTTTAACTGTGATTTCAGTATCTGTCACTTCAAACAGAATACTTTCTCGGACTTTATATTTGGTAATGTAACTAAAAACACTGTATTATTATGCATTGAGCTAACATTTTACTGATTGTTTTCCGACTTTTCATTATCCAGAGGAATTTCCTGAACTTTCATATCAATACATGCAATCCAACTTGCGATATATACTGCTGTAGGTTAAGAGTTATAGTCAACGAGTTTATAATTTCTTAGAAGTAACATAGGAAAAGCAAAATGTTCGTACTGCTTTCTTGCCGTCAGTTTGGTTTGAACTCGAAAAATGTTTTTTCATATTCCAATAACCCAATAGATTTTATTTTCTTCCTACGTATAAAACTGAAAGATTGTTAATAGGCTAATGTTAGAATAACTTTCTTTGCTGTCGACTGTTCATAAACTTTTAAGTCTTTCGTTTTACATTCTTTCGCTTTCAATAGCTAGTTTCTATTTAATGTTCGCATCCAAATAAAGATTCTTAAAATCTTCGTATAACTCTAAACACATGACAACATCCCGAAGTATGCATTGCTCTAACAATTTAATGCCAGTAAATGTTTCATTTCTTTCTGAAACTTCTTTCTCTTCTCTTGGAAGAGGATTGAACAATGACCATTAATTTGTCGACATTCTTAACCAACATGACCCTTCCCACCATCTGCCTTTTATTAGTTTATCTGTAGAACAGTTTTATTAGTTTATCTTCAGGCTTAATCAGCTGGATTTCATTCACTCTTAAGTTGACGCTGATTTTCAGTTCTGTTCAAATGTCGAATTTATTCCTTTATTGAAAAACGTTCCCCGCGTGTTCTTTCCGCTCTGAGCGTTATGCCCAGCCTTATACGGTCATCAGAAATTTTGCTACTCGGCATATATTAACTTATAATTTAAGATATTTTGCTTTTTTATTTTCTTTAATAATGTAAATATCTTCTTGATAAATGTGAGTTTATGAAAATACGAAGTAAAGTAAGTAATACAAACTCAACTAATAAATGTTTTTTAAATACCGGTCTTTTTGACGGATCTAAAATCCTAGCCCTGTCAGAGTTTTAATCCAAGGAAACGACTGTCTATCATCATTTATCATCTCTCTTGCGGACGTTTAAAATAAGCGACAATGACTCTCTCGAGCCTGATTAAATAAATTAAGTGTAGTCTCTGATTACATTACCTCCATTTGAATTAAATCTATGTTATGTTGAATTCTTGCACGTAACGGATCTTCGTCTGTTTCACAAACTGTCTCTTTCTCTTGATTTAGAACTTACGTTATTTAACATTTGATATTCGAAATATATATCAGTTACCATAACTCATATATACTAGTATTATATATATTGTAGGGTTTTCCTTTAGTTAAAATTAACATATTCTTCAAATTTTTGTTACATTTTCTGAACTCCTCAATTTCTCCTTGCAATTTCTTGCCAGATGAAAATTTAAAATTAAGTGAAGGGAGTATTTAAACGAGTGAATCTCTGAGTTTAGTCAGAGCTTGCTTTAACTAGCCAGCGCACGTCCGTTCGTGATTTTGCTGTTTCTCTAATACCCCCCTTGGTCATTTCGGATTATAGGGAAAATCATGTGTAAAACTATGTAATTGTACCAAGTAACAATTGTAGTTTTCTCGTTTTGATGTTGTCTCGGAACTAGCTGAAACACCGCACCTTTCTTCATTTATCTGCTAGGTTTTAAAATAAAATACAATTGCAAGCTCTCATTGATCAAAAGCAGACTTAAGAGTTTTCCTCCATTTACTTCCATATTTTATGAGAAACTCTGAAAGTTTACTTATGGAGTGCAACAAAAATTAGTTAATGGCATACTGAATTTATTGAATTCTATATATTTTTCTTCACCGTATTTTCAAATTTCGGAACCTTATTGATTTGCCATAGCACTGGCAGATATCTTCAGGAAAATATTAAACATTGTACTTTAGACTTACTATGTTTCGCTTTATGCCCATTTCTAAAACAAATGTCGCAGGCCATTTTCTTAAGTAGAATAACATATGTTTCATAAAGAGTCGTTTTTGTGCTAAAACAGTTTTTTCTTTCATCAGGTTAGTTACAAACCTGATAAAAGAAAAGACGTTGTCTTTCGTCAGATTTGTTTAATTCCGAATCCATTTCCTCATTTTAACAATCAAGGTTTGGTACTAATTAGCGTTTCCTCTTCGTATTCTCGTTCTTTAAATAATCCAGATTCAAGAATTTGAAATCCGGAATGGGCGAGCGAAATTCCGTACCCCCTCGGATTCATTTGTCAAGAAGGATAGTAACTGCTGAAACCTTTTTTCAGTAAGGACTTTGTGATTGTCTTGGCAGAGCTATGAAACTCGTTTTAGCAGTTTAATTTCTCTTCTTTATACACTTAAGCTAGTTACAAATTTATTCGTAAATTATTTGACATTTATTAGTACAGAAGTCGCCTAAGTTAGCTATTTCAGCATATTTTTATGAATGAAGTAGTAAAATTAAATAATTAAAGCAGCACCACATTTCTTCATATCGAAACAGTCAATGGTGAGAGAACGTCCCAATAAGCAGAGTCATGCAATTCATTAAATATTTCTAATAGATTAAGCAGAAAATCCATTATAGCATTTAAACTGCACTTTCTAACGCAATTATTTTGAAAAAAACATCCCAGAATTTTCCTACCATCTAACATTTTCCCAATATATAAGCAATGCATTGCTCTTATTAGTCAATTTACTTTCAAATTTTATTCGTAGAATTTCTCTCGAGATGGTTTCCTCAATGCAAACATGATATATTTTGTCAGTAAAATTAGTCTTACAAAATAATTTGTGTTGTAACAGTTTATTTTCTACAGCAAAGACGTTCTGTTGTATCCTTTCAGGTGGTTCTGCTGCTGCTTCTGCTGCTGCTGCAGCTGCTCAAGGCTATGACTTTCAAGGTAATGAACAAATCACGAAGTATTTTTGTAAATATTTTAATGTTAAGAATTAAATGGAATTTAAAGATCTTGTAAATAAGCAAACACATCCATTTATTGATCAAGTCTAGCAGCTTAAGAAGTGTTACTAAATCCTATTTATGGAATTAAAGCTTATGTTTTTACTCATGTGTTTGAAGAAATATCCTAGAATTATTTTCTGCGTTAGATATGATGCACGGTAATTAAAAAAAGTAAATCTCAGATTAGAAAGGAATTAGAGACAGTTTCTCCCCTGTTTAGCAACTTTGTTTTAACTTAAGGCATAGTTAATACTGGGTAAGACTATATTCTATATGTAAGTATGATAAATATTTTAAATGGAATGAGGTTTATTAAGAACTGTGTATTGGAGATTTTTCTATATTCTCAAACAAACACCCCAGAATGGTTCTGCAACTTAACATTTATTAGTCAATTTAGTTTGAAATTTAACCGTAGAGACCTCATCCGAGAAGGCTTTCTCAGTGTAAATATGACGTATATTCTAAGTAAAATTAGTCTTACAAAATGATTTGTGTTGTGTGCTATTCACTTTCTAATTCAAAGACTTTTTGTCATAACTTTGCAGGTGACTCTGCTGCTGCAGCTGCAGCCGCAGCGGCAGGCGTTCAAGGCTTAAATGAAGCAAGGTATGGAGTTCAAGGTAATGTACAAATCACAAAATTTTTTTTTTAAATATTTTAATTTATTGGAATTTGATGATCTTTCAAATAAGCATAAGCATACATCTACATTCCTCTATTGATTGGTTGTAGTAGATTAAGAAGTGATATTAAATCCTTTGTCTACAACGAAACCGTACTTTTAAACTCGTTTGTTTAAAGAAGCACCTTTGAATTGTTCTCTATGTTGGCATATATTGCACGCTAAGTAAAAAGCATAACTCATATTGCACAATAATTAAAGACTGTTTCTCCTCTATTAAATAATTTACTGTCAAAGATATTCAAAGTTGATAAAGGGTAAGTCTACTTTATGAAAACATGATGAATATTTTGAATGAAATTAAGCTCATCCAATGAATTTTAGCTTAGCAGTTTTGTATATCCTCGATTACAGTTGTGTGTAAAGAATATGTGATTGCTTATAGAATGTTCGCTTTTTCTACTGCTTCTATGTTTAAATACGAAAAATGTTATTTACACTTATTTTTTGTGTTTTGTGAACAATTATTTGAATAGAAAACTTTGAATACAACACGTTTTAAAATATACGGATTTATATTTTTTTGTATTGACTACTTTCTCTAATGGTTTTTCTTTAGAGAAACATTTTCTCTTCTATTTTCTCTAGTGATCTCATATGTTACGATTTCATCTGTAAATGGCAAAACAGTTATTTCTTTCGGAAGTTTTTTGATCGTAAAATTTTCGTTTATAAACAACATATCTCTCCTACTATACAACCTACCTTGAAAATTTATTTATAGAGAATTAAAAAGTTAGACTCAAGTTAGACTTTTCAGTGCATTTTGTGACTATTTAAAGTTCTAAACTTAAAACTAAGGTAGATACAAGTTTCTAAATATGATCGCAAAGTAATTTAAAAGCTAAACGACGTAGCGTTTCTTAGTAAACATAATCTGATGAAGTGAAATATACTCTTTGTCATAAAAATTTGCCCATCAAGAAAGAGTTATCAGAATGAAACGAAATTTAACATACATAAGTACTACATTGATATAAGTATGTGATTAGAAAATCAAGGAGAAAAGGATAATTTCTGGCAGAAAAAGTACACATGAACGGAAGTTTTAGTACTCTGTTGGACCTCCTCGATCGTGCACTCGCACCAGCGCGAGTGCACGATGCGATACGAGCGGGCATTGCAGCACACAAGTTCCGTATGGTGTCCTGAGACATCTCGTTCCACAGTCGCTGTAAACGCGCCGCCTCTAGTTCTACCAATCTCATAGACTGTCCAACTGACCATCCCAAATGATCTTAGATATGCTCGATTGGGAATAAATCTATCGAGCAGGCCAGGTAAGGGTATTAATGTGGCGGAGGCAGTCTTGTGAGATCCGTGTTGTGTGTGGCCGAGCATTGTCGTGTTGAAAACAGGCTCATGGGAGCCCTGCCATGAGTGGCAACACATGTGGCTGAAGGATATCATGGACGTACCGCTGGCCTGTCATTGTGCCATGAATCAATATTAGGGGTGACCGTGTATCGTAAGTAATGTCACACCAACTGTGGGAACAGTGTGTTGCTATAAAGCGAAGGCAGGATTGAGTTGTTCATCGCTGGGCCTCCACACACGAAGACGATTGTCATCACTGGTCAAACGGAATCTAGATTCGTCGCTGAAAACGACATGGTTCCATTCTGTTGAAGTATAGTCCTGTCGTGAGCGACATTACTCCAAATTGAGGCGTCGTGGATGGGTGTCATTGGCAGCACACGTAATGAGCGCTGCGATACCAGATGTCCTTCACAAGGCCCCTTACGATGGTTTGGGAAAACACAGGGGCAAGTAATGAATCTGCTGCCTGTGCCTAAATAGCGGCCAATGCAGGTGCCTCTATGCGTGCGCGTCGTATGATGTGACGGTCTTCTCGACGTCTGATCTGTCAAGGACGTCCTGAACCTAGTCGCCGTGTGAATGACGTCTCTTCTGTCCACTGGTTCCAACGCTTCCTCACAGTAAAATCAGAACGGCCTACCTGACGAGTTACTCGCCGAGCTGATCATCCATCTTCCATCATCCTGATGATTCTTCCCCTCTCAGACTCTGAAAGCTGCTGATATTTGCTTCGATGGCGGCGTAAAGACATGTCTACCTCAGAGGTTCCTAAGCAAAAGATTAAGTACATTCAAGATTAAGTATAAAAGAGGTGAGCTAGCTTACCTGTTTTATACTCCAAGAAGAACGAAGTTCAGCGCTCTCTAGTGGCATTACGCAATGCGCAATCACGCTGCATTTCTAATCATTAGCATATCTACCCGACATGTACCTTCAGGCCAAGTTTCGTTACAATCCCACAATTATTTATTGGTGCGCAAATGTTTATGGCAATGAGTGTAAGTTCGGTAATCAGGAGGAAAAGTTACTGGAAAGCATTACGGATTAAAGTAAAAAGAAACAATATATACTAAAACTAAGCCCTCATATCAAAGGAATGAAATAGAAGAGGAAATAAAAATAAATTCCTATAAAAAAGATAACTGTATATCCTTAATTCACTTAGAGTTTATCGATTTATTAGCATGTCAGCACTTTATATGCTGCCATTTCCGGGCTGATATTGCTCCATTTTGAATGAGAATAATTTTTTACGTCGGTGTGCTGTTTCTAACAGTAAATATTTTGTCTTCTTGTTGCTTTGCATTGCTTATTTTTCCACGCGGTTTGAAAATAGCGTCGTCTGCTTTTGAAGAACTTGTAATATATTGTGCATTTAAATATTTGTGAAAAAATAATAAAAAAAAACCTAGATTTTCAAAATGAAAAAATGGCTAGGATTGACTAAGCGGAAAAGTGACGATTCACAGGTGATGGATCCAGGACAATCTACTAGCTATGATAATATTGAAAAGAAAACAAAAATATTTCTAGAAAATATAATGAAAGTTACTTATCATTTGTTGAGATATTTGTAATCACATTCTTATTGGTTAAAAGGAAGTATAGCTTTCCGTCACATCCGATGCATTAGCTTTCTGTCAGGTCCGATGTATTCTGAAACTTAATCCCATTCTATCTGTTTATATTATTTTTGATTGGTGTTTTATTGTGTCTTGTTTATGATTTGTTAAAACATGATCTGTTGTAAAGTTATATAGTATGTAACCGCTTCGCGTATTTCTGTTCGTGTATCTCTGCTTATTACTCTGTAATAAATGTTTGTTTTTCGAATCACGGCATTTAAAATGTTCGACATCATTTGGAATTACTTGGAATGGAAAGGAAATGGACCCTCAACCTCAATGTGTTGTTTGCGGTGAACAACTGTTAAAGCTTATAAGAAAAAAATATCACTTACTTTTTCAGCTTTCAGTACTTAAAAGTATAAATCACACGTCAGCACGAAGTAGCCTTTAATTAAAGACTCGCATTATAGATTAAACAAATGTCTCTATCATAAAAAGGTGCTACTTTGGTAGACGGATTTTGCACGGATTTTGGCGATTTTTTTTTTTGGTGAGCGATACGACTTATGATAAACCCATTGCTAGACAAGTTATTTATTGTAACCGATACTTTGTTGTCATTTTATTAAAAAAATAATGCGTTTTATTATGCATAAATTCCGTGTTTTAAATATTATTTATGACTTCTAAATAATAAAAAATGAATTTAATTTTGCATTTTTATTGTAAATAAAAATTTTATTGTTTATGATATTTTATGGAATTTTATGTTGTGAATGATGTAATGAATGACGTCACATTATTTTAAAAGTAATTGGTTTTTATATCTGTAAATTTAATCTAATGTTTTAGACATTATTTATGGCTGTTACATTATTAAATTATTAAAATACATTTTAAGTTTTATTTATTAAATTATTATTAAATTATTATTTAAATTATTAAAATACATTTTAATTTTAATATTTAATATTATTAAATACAATTTTAATTTGGAATTTTTTAAATATGATTTTATTATGAATGATTATTTAAATAATTTTAATTCTAGGCGTGATGTAATCAGCTCCCTGATTAGTTACTGACTATTTGTGCAATACCACGCCATTTTAAAATTTTATTATTCATCTCTTCGAGTTCCTCAGATTTCAAAGCGAATGTATGTATCTAAGATGAATGTTGTTATTGGTAATTACCAAGAATTATTGGTATCGGCATAAAAGAATTGCCGTTTGAGACCTTATTTTGGCCAACCTGGATTTCCTTATCAAAGATTTATTTATTGTTACAAGGGTCAGAGGAAATTTGTTTAAAATATTTGGAGGAAACCTCGCTAATTGCTTTTTCAATGAAGTGCGAGAGATGAAGATCGTTTTCTTTTCTGGTACTTATCAATATACGTAACGTAAAATGCTTAAAAAAATGTAAGTACATATTTTTCTTCAAGTCATCGGTGGGTGACGCTTGCGGGATTTTTCCCGTTCCCAGAATGTGATTGGGTTCACGAGCTGCGGTAAAAATCTTAGTTAGGTAGTTTACTTTATTATTGTATACGTCAATTTTTATTAAAAAATTAATACACTATTTTCAAAAATTCCTGAGATATTTATTGCTACATATGTTTTAATGTTAAATAATTATATCCTATAAAACGTATTTTAAAGGATTTGAATTTAAGTAATTGAAAATTTTAATTCTTTTAAACGTTGGTATGAGGTTTTTAATTCAATATTCAATTTAAGTAATATTTTATTCCAATTAAATGTTGGCGCAATGTTTTTATAGCGGTGTTCTTATTTTATTATATGAAAGTAATAATTTAACCTTACTTTAGCATTTTATACTCTTAGTAAATGTATTTATTTACATTTGCCAACCATCTTAAAAAAACAACGTTCTCAACAAAAAATTAATCCATCATTTTTAACGATATTTATTTTTTTAAAGTTTCGAATACTTTACTATGCGTGGAATACGTAAAAACAGCATTTTTCAAGATGGCTGACGACTGTAAAAACTGAGCCAACAATTGCACGAATGTAAATCGCCA